GAACAGTTTGGGAGCAAAATCTTCGAAGATATGTACACACCAGAAAACACATCGGCACGCCGTTGAAGAAAATGAACCTGTGAATAGGCAAAAAGAATTGTATGAGGAAGATAAAGACCAAAAGATATTGAAGAAAGACAAGGTAGGTCAAAAGCCCGTTGAGGTGTAGAACACAAAGGCTGAAAACTTTCAAAATCGAGGGGTTCACACCACACGAGAATTAGAAGGGTCAGATAATGGAAAAAGTGTAGGCGGAACGCGACATCAAGAATCACAGACATGCGGCAAAAGCGCAAAATGGCAGCTTATAGAATACAAGCTGAAAAACATTGGAAGACCCAAAAAATTGCAGACAGAAGTGTGAATTTTTATCAGGCAGTCCGTCAGGAAAAGGCAGATGGGCACAATCGTACCGAAAGACAAAGGCGAAATAGAAGGGGAAATGGCAGTCATGCAGAGGCCAAGCAAACAGTACGAGATGACAAAATCGTTGAATGGAAGCGAACTGGTGGAAAAAGTAGACTGTCAGGGTTGGTGTTGTACAGACAAACAAGCCAACACACAGACAAATGAGCAGTGACTTGTTCGAGGAAAGGCAAGGTTTGTCTACCGATGAGGCTAGGAAGACATGCTAGACTATGCAGTGGCTAGGGATAAAGAGAATGAAACCAAAGATGAGATAAAAATGAAGATGTAATAAACAAATTGTGATAAAAATGAAAGGCAAACAGCCAAGGCAACCATAACTTTTTGTACAGACACCTAGAAAAGAATCTAATACGAGGGATAGGTGATGAAATAAAGGGAGAGATTTTGGAGCAAAATTGGAAATTCCGTGTGGAACTTTGAGAGCGCACAGCAGGAAAATGTGAGCCGAGGGAAAAGTGGCGCGACAGAACGTTGAAAATGTGACGCCAGTGGTGTAGAAAAATAGAAAGGAATGGAGTGGATGGGCCAGAACCACTCGGGGTTTGTTGTGAAATGCACAATCAGAAGACTGGTCGGAGCGAGTGGACAGCCCCAATGAAGAAGGTTGGCGAATGGATGACCACGGGTGGCCGGTTCAATAGGGTCCGGTGGGGGATTCAAAATAGTCCCAAATGGGAAACCGGTTGTGAAAGGAGCAAAGGTGAATGACGCGTGNATGCATAATAGGTGAGACTAGGCAAACGATAGAGTATGAACGATGTCTGGCCCAGAATCTGCATTTAGGCAATGTAATGCGAAGTAGCGCAGTGATGAGTCAAAAGTCAAACCCGCCTTGTTGATTGAACAGTTGACCGCCATGCAAGGTGCCGTCCATTGTTGCATTGAACTCAAAGGTCGAAGGGGTGTTCGACATAGGGTTTATGTCTTGTGATCGTTCATCTCCCGCTATACCTGCGGTCGTGTTAGTGTCATCGTTCATCTGGAAATAAGAAGTTTACCGAGGTCAGTGGCACTGAGTTAACTGTCAGTTATGTGCATCACAAACAATCGTTTATGCCCTTAGTATAATTAGAAAAATCCAAGTCCCCCTGTTGTTTATAGGCTTTTCGCCTTTGATTATTACCTCCTGGCGATCGATTGACTGTCGTTGACTGTAACTCGACATCCAGAGACAGTGGAAGAATAAATACCTTTTGGCACCCATAACGCATGGCGTCATAGAAAACATACCAGGAGTTCGACGTGGTTATGCGACTTGATAGCTTAGTACGAATGACGTGGAAACTTCTCCCTCGAATAAGAAACAAGGAAATTTTCATCCTTTACATAAAAAACATATTTTGGATCTCAGATCGTTTGGATAAATAGATCGCTAAAGGGCTATTGATAGAGCACAAATCCATAGGCAGATCCGGGTAAACCCTTAGGACATAGCTATGATTACCGGGATTTTCTCTGTCTATATGTGGTTCATCGGTCTCCGCATCGAAATCATCAGCTTCATCGACGACTATAACATGAAACTGGCAGTCACTATTTCACTGTCGAGCAACCGTTGTCATTACACCTATCCTTGTTCTACTGAATTATTCTTTTCCGTTTTGTCCCATTTGTTCTTGTGGATCCTGTACACAAGCTACCAGTCACTCATTCCAAGTGACTATTCCCAGGTTTGGAACTTACAACTGTCCGTCATCTTTTATTCTCACGAACAGAACCATGACGTATAGGGATTTCAGGCTTATTTCCCCACCCCCAGCTGATTGTCTCAATATGCTTTACTGATACTTCGGTGAAATTTTACTTCGCGACTCCAGAAGTGCTAAGGAAATGACTCTCGACCGAAATTGCTACTGCCCACTCGAACTCAACTAATCACCGAATTCAGTTTTTCCCCTGTCCCGTCGTGGATGCAAAAAGATCAGTGGCTAATAAAAAATTGCCAGGGGCTTTTGAACGACAAAAAAGCCTGGGGCAGACGGTCAAAACGTCTCTCAATTGTTACCTATCACTGGCACTAACTACAAAATTCGGAGCAGCTATAGAACAGATGCCTAGTGAATATACTTCACAGGTATGAGGACAATCATGCTGTCAATCCAATAATAATGTAAATTGTTAGTTTACTTGCAGTTTAGTTGAATAAAAATGGGAAAACAAATAACGGATGCAGAAAGAACTTCTTCTGTTAGTTTTACCGTGGACATTTTGTGATATTGTCGGGGTTCGTATGGGGTATGGGGTGTCAACAAACACACCGTACGACGCCACTGACTATATCGTAGGGCATTTTGCCTTCAACAATCTTTATCTCTTGGGCTGCAACCTGGAAAGCGGGCCGCACCAACCGATGCCAAAGCTGAAGCTGACCTTATACCTTCAAGGTTCGTATCATTATATATGGTCTATTAAAGGAAGGAAGTAGTCGCCTGACACCCGTCATGTGTATGCGTATGCGTCTTGGGACTTCAACCGTGAAGTGTTCCAAGAGCTATAGTAGGTGCTCAAATAGAAAAATTCTTCTTTCTGATTCTCTTCACCTGTTAGAATGAGGTTGGTAGCCGGACCTCATGGCGCAAAAACAGTTTATGCTTTGGATGTGCAAAACGAGTCCCGAACATGGCTACAGACACACTCAAACATCATCGTACAGCGAAATACACTGAAGCGAACTTCACTAATCGCTGCCAAACTCACAATGCATATGCAGTGGGGTTTGGTGGACGGGAACCGCTAAGGTGGGGCATGTGTTACGCATGTCTCCAAATAGGCTGCCACGGCGAGCGATGTTTGTCGAGGCAGGTAGTGGGTGGAAAGCTCAAGGTGGTTAAGCTAAGACCTGGTATGAGGGTATGAAAACCCTAACCAAGAGTTTAGGTTACAGGTCCCGTTGAGCTCCCTGGATGGGGAACTCGGGATGGTCGTACCCGATGGTTAGAGACACTGAATGATATGGGTGGGTGTCGTGAACAGTGGAATTCATGCATTTTCTCGATTTCTCTGTATCCACTGAACTTTTCAATTTACTCTTCGATCCTACTTTCAACCTTTCCTGTCTTCCTCCTAATGTTCATCCAAGTGGGCAGTCAAAAGATAGCAACCAAAACCGGCGCACTATAGTGCATGGTCAATGTTTTGCAAACTGAAACTGAAGGCGTCCAGCCACTAAGCAGCAGAATGGTTAGGATTCTCAAGAAGAACCTATCCGCAAGGCAGCGGGTGAAGCGAAGTGGAGGCCCGTGTACTTGGATCAATTACTCCTTCACCATTTTTTATCGACTGAAACGCAAATTCTAGTCGAATACCTAACCTGGAGGACCAGGAGAATGGACTTCGTACGACTTCTACCCTTCGGCTTAGCAAAAGCCATCCCGTGTACGAAACTTACCTGGTTCTTCACCCACCAGCTTCAACAACCTCGACTGTGCACCTAGAATCATGGTGAGAAAATACGGAGGGCTTCAATAGCACCTTGATAACGCTGTTTCAAGCGTATTCGTTACAGAGTTGAAGAGAAAAGTAGAGACGGTAAGCTTGACGAACAACACTTTCCATGAATTCCGAGGAGAACATCCGGGAGCTCGAAATTGGCAGTACCAAAGTAAACTTTGGGTGACTGTATCGAAGGAAGCTTTTAGACCACCGAAGATGGGTCCGCGGAAGGAATGTTAGCGTGCAAGAATTTGAAAATAAGGTTCAAAATAAGGCGAAAATAAGGTTTATGCATCCTCGAACGGGTCTTCAGCCAACATCGACTTACTGTTGTTGTAAAGACGGTCAAATAGTGATTCGGTTGGCTCACGATCTACTTAGAGAAGTGCGAATTTAGGATTAGATCTAAAAGTAGTCTGATTGCAACTGAACACCGTTCCCCTAAGTCAGACAATCGATGGCGAGTAATACTGGAGAAGCTTTGGGGGCAGCATTAAAGAAGTAAATAACTACCAGAGGATTTATCAAGTATTACAAAATGGCAATTTGACTCATTCACATTATTTTTACCTTCAAGAATAAGGCTGACCTTAGACTCTAAAATTCTATAACCCATTCGCGGACGAACGAAATTCTCAAGACATTCGTCGTTGCTTAGATTGATCACAGTTTCATTCACTAGACGGAGAAAAACAAATGCACAAGACTCCATGATCAAATGGTGGATCAATGACAACCAGTAATTAAAGCCGTCTTAAAGCAGCGGTAAACAGCTGTGTAGTAACTTACTCCTTCTCCGAAATAACGCTCGATGATGCCATAGGCTAACCTATAGATGTCCACATTATGATGCTCTTGTAACGCCTCAATTCGATCCAATCCACCGCATTCTTCGATTTGGGTTGTAACTTGCTCCAAGTTCTCACCGGACGCTGCCAAAATGTTGGACAGGCCATCCAAGACCACCTGAACAACCTGAGTATCGCGTTCACTGAGCATTTTGCACAACGGAGGAATGGCCTGTTGTTCAGTAACATAACGCACCTGAAAAAAAGGTCCCATGACAAATCAATATCAAACGTATTGCAGCAACAAACACTGAGCCAATCAGATTCCAAACTCTGTTTGTATCGTTATACTATATAAGGAACAAACATTTAGAAGTTCGACGGGATGCAGGATGATAAAGATAAGCCGACTGTATCATTCAAACGAACAGACTAACCTGATCTACATTTCCATTGATTGTCAAATTGGAGATAGCCCAAGCAGCTTCCTTCCGCGTGAGGAACTCGCTTTCCGATAAGTGATGAAGTATTAGGGGTACCAAATTATGATCGATGACAGCCTGTACTTGACTCTGGTTACCAGCTGTAATGTTCGAGAGGAACCACACGGCTTCTTTGTTAATCTTTTCACGTGAATGCTTCAGAAGTCCAGGAAAATGACTCAATGCTCCGCAATCCAGAACAACTTGTGTCTGTTGATCAGAGCCCGTTACGATATTCCCCAGAGCGCGTAAAGCAGCAGTCTGAACTTTTGAACTCGTATGAGATAACAGAGGGACCAAATGCGGAACGATTTCGGCGTTGATTATCATTTCAATGTGATCGTTACCACCATCAGTCAGGTAGGAAATGGCCCAAACGGTATCTACGAGAATACTGTCATCTGGATGCTTGATCAAATACAGAAGAGCCGGCAGCAGCTCTTTGATAGCTGCAATTGGCGGTGGTGGATCTCTATACCCGCACAAGTTGACTATGACCCAGGTTAAGTTCCGAAGAAAACCGAGCGGTATATCCGGTCTGAGCAGCTTTAACAATAATTTAAGACCACCTATTTCTATAACGTGATCACGTAANTCAGGTAGGAAATGGCCCAAACGGTATCTACGAGAATCTACATGAAAAGAACAAAAACAAACTATTAGTACAGCATCAATCCTGCGAACGAGTTAATAAACTTAATAAACTCAACGGAAAACGGGCGCTGCAAATCGAATGTAGCTTAGATAAAATCATGGGGACGAAGACCACTCGCCGTTTCGAATTGCTCTTGAAATGCCCAGTCACGATATACATTGAGTAAATTACACTCGTTGCATTCTCTTGGTAAAGAGGATTCCATTTGAGTATGTTAATTTACGAGACGATAACTCGCTAGTTCGTCCAAGGGAATCAGCCACTTGCGATGAGAACGAACTGATTCGAGGACAACTGGGTCCTACGGACATGAGATAAGATTCGACTGACTGGACATCAGTCCACAATGGCTCGCATGAAAAGCCGCTCAACGAAACAGCAAATATGAAAACTCAACTAATCTCAACAGCGCCGAATTCGGGGGGACCTCATTTTGATATATCACATACTGCATCAACCCAACCAACTTTATCTCAAAATGATCACCTCAAGGGACATCCACTGGAGTTGAAGACTCAGAACAGTCACCTTAATTGCCGGTATCGCTCGTTTGCAGTCAGAGAAGTGTGCGGCGTATGGAATTCTCTCACATCCGATGTGTGTGCTCCTATAGTTGAACTATTTAAGTCGCAGCATGATAAAGCATGGTAACACTTAAAATTTCCACATCCGTGAGTGATCATGCAAATTGTTATCATTATTATTTTCTCTTTGTGAAGTTATTCAAAATATTCTGTGAAAATCCCATGGGGCATGATAAGCTTTAACTTTGTTAAATCGCCAATAATAAAACTCTGACGTGCTGCCTTTAAAAAGGTTGTTGTTTTAAGAGAAAGAGGAATACTCAGTAGTGATTGCTCTGGAAGCTGCTTCGCAAAGGAACAAAGCACAGCGCCTCAGCAACCCAAATCTTTGCACAACCGTGCACGCTTATTGTAAAAACTGTTAACTGGTTCATTCAGTGAACACGCTGAATTGTTCTCATCCAAAGAAAACTTTCGCATACAATGCGACTGATAAACAAGAAGCAACTGAGGCACAAAGTACCTAAACGTCCAGAAAACTGCTTCTGTTGACGCGTAGCAAACAAGGACATTGTCTTCGTGATTCAGCTTATTTTCAGCTTTTTAGGACCATTAAAAATGCCCTTTCATGCCGTTCTCTTGGTTGTCTGTTTGAATGAACGAGCAAAGGGTGAAAACAAATAATTCAAGAAGATTAAGGTTGAAGAACACGGAGTAAAGGCACTGGCGCCACTGTTTACAACACTCAGTCGCATCACAAACTACAAAACTACCATCTGTCCCCGACCAGTGGTCACGCCTCGTGACTGCGAATGAGCCAAAGAGCACTGATGGTTAGCCACTCCGAATTCCGCTAATTATTTCGTACAATGACGACAAGTCAGCGAATACAGTAAGTTCTTTTATTTATCATAACCTCAAGATACGATCAAACTGACCATGGAAACACTTATATTCATCTCGCAAAGGAACACCGCTTTGGGACCGCAGATAAATCAACTTCAGACAAAAGCATCTGGAGATTTAGCCGTTTAATTGACTTAATCTGTTCCATTCCGATTACTTCCAAACACCGGTTTTATATAGGACGGGTATTGAAGCTCGGATTTGTCATCATAAAGCAAGTAAAGAAGCACCGGAATAACATCCAGCGAAATGCCACATGAAGTGAATGGAATCGCATTTGCTAAGCCATGACGAGAGCTTCTCCACGACAACACACAGTATGTAGTGTTGCGTCTGCACACGAGTTGATGCGAAGGTAGTAGATAGCTTTGTTGTCGTCTGGTTTAGTACCACATCTAACCTAACGGGCCTTGTTTTTTCAGATTACCTATACAAACTAGAAAAGATTACAAAGATTACAGATTGCAAAGTGAACCTAGGGCAGATCGTCGCCCCGGTCGGAGGCATCGTGTATCTTACGATTAAGTCGGTCGCCAGTGGAGTGGTAACTCAATCCCAGTTTTTGCAACCAATGGTCATGAACTTTTTTGCGCCGATTCTGGTTGCTGCCTCACGAGTGCTCATTTGGGTAAGAGAGCAGAAGAATGAAATGTTGCGAGCAGAGTCAAAGAGATCTCACCGGACTGAGATTGCAAAGAAATTTAAGTGCACGAGTACCATTGTTTGCGACACTGTCATATCAGTTGTCTCTAATCGCTGGTTACGTCGATCACGGGGTCCCATCTAGGAAGTCTAGCGCGGCCTATGTGAGCAAGTATCTTGGTCAGGGTTTTCATACCATCATGCGAGGTCTGAGTTTAACCATCCTTAAATTTTTCCATCCAACACCTGCCTCGGCTAACAACGCGCACCAAGATCATCCTATTGAAGGCATGTCCCCAGCCAACGAGATCCAATGGAGATTCACCACTTTCTTCAGTGCACGACCGCGGATGTTTAAAGCTATACGTCGATCCTCGGCATTACTTATCCGGAATCCGCGCCAGGCTCGTTAAATACAGCCTAGGCAGCGAGGTTTGAACACCAACGACCTATAACGTCAGAATAGACGAGCA